GAAAAGCCCTACAGGAACATTCAATAGACATCAGAGCAACTACATTAAGCTGTAGTTATTCTGGTGACTATGCACTATATTTTTATGTGTGCACTGTTCCTTAATCTGTATTATGTATAAATTTTGTTCTGTATGGCAGCATAATTTTTACAAAATGTTCTGTGTGTGCCCCCTATTCCCTTTTTATCTTTACAACTCTGGGACTGTGGCTGAATCAACTCTGATGTATCAGAATAGTTGAGTCTCCATAAATTAAATGGACACTCCACGCACCTGAACACTATAAAAATTATTAAATAATTACAAAAAAACTCAGAGGAAATCAACACACCAAGCGTGTTTTTTTTATTCTTTATTTTATTTGTTGTGTGTGATTGTTATATATATTTCTCTCATTTGTTTAGGCTGTCCAACTAGAATATTCTTGCAAGAACAAGGATGATATTTTGCAAAGCCTGAAGAAAAATCACAAAAACACTCTCCAAAAACTGTCTGAACAGATAAAGGCACGGGAAAGTGATTGGCAAAAGCAGAGAAAAGATATGGAACTGAAATACTCTACTCTCCTTCAGGAGGCTAAAGCCAAAGTACAGGTACTTAACAGTAGTAACAAAACTGTAGACCACAGGTGTCAAGGAAAATGATTGAAAGCTGGTTATGACTTTTAAAAAAAAGTTTGTGTATTTATTTAGCATCTTATTTAGCGTATGAACTGGCTGTTAGGCTCAATGTTACTGGGACCGGTGTCCCTTTACTTTAGGCCCCCTTACGTTGCTGTTTGAAGAGTTCAGTTGATCAGGTAATGTGAGTGCATAGCATAAATGAAAGGAACAGACTGCTAGGAAGATGTTTAGGACAACAGCTGCTGTCCTTATTCAGGAAGGACAGTCAATATTTTGGGCCCAAATCCCTCTGTCCTTCTTTTCTATCCTAATGTCCCTCTTTTTCTAGGTGATCTTTATTGCTGGTGTTTGATTTTTATTTTTTATTTATTTTTTCACCAGAGCTCAAAAGAAATGTAATAAGTAATGTGTTTTTAAACTAAAATAATTGTCTTCAGGAATCAGTCTGACACCAGTCACTGTAATTAAGCTATATTGTACGAGTTCTAAATTACCTTTGAGTTCAATAAATTGTAATTGGTAAGTCACGTATAATTTGTCAGAACAGCCTCACCTCTGGTCACACCTTCATGCACACCTCTAAAATCAAAGTGTCCTTTGTCTATTTGAAATGTTGGGAGGTATGTTACCCACATTCATGGAAGAATGGCGCTCAGATCTTGATTACCAATCACATAGCATAGGCCCCTGTTAAAGTCTGGAGAGTTGGCTATGTCTGTGAGGGAGCCCTCCCTGAGTCGACAAGGAGATCAAGAAATCAGCTCTGGGCACCCTCACTTTCTTGAGGGAACATTGTGGTCTGTGCCTATATTGGATGCAGTTCACTTTTCTCCCTCACAGTTCCATGGTGCATCTCAATGAGTCATTGAATGAGTGCTGGGAACTACAGAGAAACTGTGAAAGTGGCAGCCACCCATGGTATAGGTGCAGAACACATTACATCTCTACTGGATTACCAGGGATAACACTTCCACGGTGGGTATAGTTTGTGACATTATGTGTAGTTCTTGTGGGGGAAAAAACTCCTATTTAGTGCTTGTGATTTATCAATCATGTGTAAATTAAATTTAAAATTAAACCTCTGGTAGTCTCTCATTAGGTACATTTTACAAATAACATTTATGTAAGGGATTATACAGCATGTGCTTATAAAATAAGAGTGAATGCAAATGTTTGTATGTATGGATGTATGTGTGTTTGTATCTGTAGTGTGGATGTATGTGTGTATTTGTAGTACCAGTGTGTGAATGCAAGCATATATTTTTGTGTAAGACAACTGAGTGTGACTGCAGCAATGTATTTGTGTCTAGTCCAAGTGTGTGAATGTAGAGATGTGTTTGTGTCTGGTGTCAGTATTTGTGTGTCATTGTATGTGAATACAGTGCTGTATTTGTTTGCAGTTCTGAATGCACAATTTCTTCCTTGTCCACATGCCTGTATTTTTCATCACCTCTGTCTTTATATTTTTCCACCACCTACTTCTTTTCGTCTTCTCTTGAATTGTACTGTACAGCAATTCTACTGGTTGTCACATGAGAATAATATGTGGCTTCTTCAATGGTATTTATTTAACATATGGTAGATTAATTTAATGATCTGAAATGAACGGAAACCGAAACATTGTTTTTAGCACTGCTTTTAATATGTAATAACATTTGATTTAAGAGAGAATAATGCAATCCTTTTATTCTAATTTGTTTTTAATTTTTTTTATTTCTACAGAAATTTCAACGTGTGGCACAAAAATCAGAATCCAAAATTGCTGTTTTTGAAAAAACAAAGAATCAGATGGCTTTTGAAAATGTGAACATTAAAAATGTACTGATAAACAGTCAGAAGAACCACAAATCTCTTCTTGCGGCCTGCGCACTTATCGCAGGTGCATTGTATCCTTTGTACAGTAGGACATGTTTTTTGGCTGCTCAAAGAGACTATCTTCAAACTCAAGTAAACTCCTTCATTGATGTTCAAAAGGAAATAGGAAGCCTTGTACAGGCTTTGTCAGACACTGAAGAAAGGAAACCGAATGATGCTAAAGTGAAGTTAGAACATCTTAGAAGCATGAAATATATATTTCGGAAAGGAGTGATTGCAGTGTTGGCAGCTAACAGATTTCGATTTTTTGGCAAAAATAGTAGATCATTATTTACTTGGATGGATAGTTTCACAAAGAGCGCTGGACTGCTTGTGTGCGTTGGAGGAGCTCAGAAAAAATACACATTGGGTAAGATGAACGAATCAGTGAGTAGAGTTGTGGAACCAGTTTGTGTGTTCAAAAATAAGCTAATTATAATTGAATATATACAGTAGAAATTGTCAGTACAAGTCCCATCAGTAAAGTGGTCACCTTTGGAAAGTAATTCAATATTTACTGCCGACATAATCATTTTTAGACATTGTAGAAAATTAATGGGATTCTTGACCTCTTGTGGCTAAATGCACTTATTTTTTGTGTACTATTCTGATGCACTTTTTATGATTATATTTTGTGATTATAGACTGCATGTATTTAAGCATTCATAGATTAAATCCTGAAATTAACCTGCAATGTTGGAAATATAGCCATACCTGATTTCATTTTACCCACCGAACCTTTACCAAGAGAGATCTATTTTTTAATGCAATATATATTTGAAATGCATATCCTGCATTCTGTATTGGAAAAGTTTGTTTAGTAAAACCACTAGCCCAGTTTTACATATTAGCACATGTATTACCCATTCTCCTACCATATCTTCTTGCTCGTCCACCGTGTCATTTTCCCATTCTTCCTGATTCGCTATTGAGCTTGTGAGCTCATCAAATTTCACAGGTTACTCCTGTGGACAGATATAATTTTTTTTTCATTGTAACAAAAAGTGACAAACTTCTCATGAAATGACAAGTGCCTGGAGGAAATGGCACATTGATGTTAAACCAATGACCCTTGGCCCTTTCTCATTTTGTCTTCTGGTCCTATCCTCTATTCTAATCTAGTTTCTCATGTCTGTCCCTCAGCAGTAAGGTTTATGGAAAATGGCTGCATCCCTTTGAAAAAATATTGGCTGTTGAATTGTGCATTACTTGGAACATCTACGTTTATTTGTATCATTGACACCTCCTGTATAGTTTAAATTAATGTTTTGTGTCTATTGTTCAAGACTGTGACATGTTAAGGATTCCTTCCATAGAAATGTATATAAATTAGGTTCTTTATATTTAATTTTATAACTTTTTTCTTTGTTTTCTAAATAAATTCAGTGCAAGTAGAATATAAAGAGCATTGTTAAATACTTAATATTAAATGTAATTTCATTTGAAATATTTTATTGTTGACTCTCCTTCTTTTGTCTGGAGCAGGACAGAAAAATGAGGAAGCTTGGACATGGTTTACTAGCACAGACCTGCTTAACATTGTAGTGTATTCAATGTCGGAGTTGCATGAAGTTTTAGATAAGCCAGGTAATAATCATTGCTCTTTCAAAAATAGTTAATTTGTCTACAATAAACTACACATTAAGCAAAATATAAATCTATTTGGCATACATCATTCATTCGTGGTTATGACATTAAAAGAACTACAACTATCTCCTGGATCTTCATAGATAACACTAAAGGCTTCTAGCAAATAAGCTTTAAATGCAGTTGTGATGCATATACAGACTAGTAAAGTGAATAACTGATTATGTCATTACAATGGCACCTGCCAAGAGGTGTGATATATTTGGCAGCAAGTGTACAGTCCGTTCTTGAATTTCATCTGTTGGAAGCAGGAAAAATTAGCAAGCAAAAAGATCTGAGTAAATAAAGAAAGTGGGGTAAACCGCACCAAATAAGGTGAATAATTTCAACTACAATATTGTGTTCAATTCTTATGCTAATTTACAAATACATACATACATACTGTTTTTAGAGGTCTTTTTTGGTAATCGTTGGAGGACCTCAAAGAGAGCGCGAAATACAAAAAAAATAGTGCACTTTGTCAACTGTGTAAAAAGTGAAATAAAATTTTACAAAGTGCCAACTCATAGTTTAGAGAGCTACTGAGAGCTCTGCTGGTAAACGCCTGGATGGGATAATCCCTGTCTAAGGATATATTGATTCTGGGTGCAGTAGCCTCTCAGTGTTCATTAGTCACGTAGAGAAGATATAACAGAAAAATAACTCCATGGAATAGTATATCAAATATTTAAATATAAGTAAAGGAAGACCGTATTCTACTGACGATATCCAGAGCAATGACTAGCTGGTGGTAATCACCTCTGGTGGTATAATCCCCACCTGGGATATGAAGGGTCTGAAGCAGCAGGATGTAGGTGAAGAGTGGAATCAATATCCTGGAACTAAAGTATATCAAAATATAAGCTTTATTAGTATAAAAACAAAATGAAACAAGTATCTAAAGTCACTTTACGCATTTCACCCAGGAATGTGCTTCTTCAAAAGAAAACCATTCCTGGGTGAAATGTGTAAAGTGACTTTTGATACTTGTTTCATGTTGTTTTTATACTAATAAAGCTTATATTTATTATTTACTTATTTTTAAATATTTAATATTCTATACTATTGGGGCTACTACACTGAGAATCAACATATCATTAGATGGTGATTATACCATTCAGGCATTTACCAGCAGAGCTCTCAATAGCTCTCTAAAGTGTGCGTTGGCACTTTGTTAAAACTTAATTTCACTTTTTACACAGTTGGCAAACTTCACTATTATTTTTTTGTATTTCTCTCTCTCTGAGGTCCTCAAAAGATTGCTATTACAAAAAAGACCTCTAAAGATAGTATGTATGTATATATTTGTAAATTAGCATAAGAATTGAACACAATATTATAGTTGAAATTATTCACCTTATTTTGCCCGATTTACCACACTTTGTTTGTTCACTTATTACTACTCAGACAGGGTTGGGGAATCCCTGCTGGTTCACTGCTGCCCATTATCTTAGAGCGAGCGCCTATTCTGCGTTTTTTCAAAAAGACCTGAGTGACTTTGACATGGCCAAATAATTATGGCTAGATGACTGAAGCAGAGCAGTGGTTAGTACCTACCAAATGTAGTGCCAGTAAGGACAACCAGTGAACTGGAGTTGGGGTCAAGGTACATTGATGCTCATGTGGAGCAAAGGCTAGCCCATCTGGTCCAATCACACAGAAGAGCTACTGATAGAAAGGTGTCACAACACACCGTGCATTGCAGTTTGCTGCTTATGTCAGAGTGTCCATGATTATTCTTATCCACTGACGAAAGCACCTTCAATAGGGACATGAGCGTCAGAACTGGATTAATCCTAACCCTGGTCCTGCTGCCATCTCTATCCAAGGAAGAAGATTGTCTGGTCTGATGAATCACACCTTGGGAAGAGATGACCGCAAGATACACTATGGGATGGATTAAGGCTAGCGGTGGCAGTTTTATGTTCTGGGCAATGTTCTGCTGTGAAATCTTGGTTCCTGGCATTCATGTGGATGTTACTTTGACATGTACCACCTACCTAGGGATTATTGGAGACTTTGTACACCCCTTCATGGCAGTGGTGTTCCCTGATGACCATGGCCTCTTTCAACAGGATAACAGCCCATGGCACACTGCAAAAATATTTCAGGAATAGTTTGAGGAACATGACTAAGAGTTCAGGATTTTGCCATGGCCTCCAAATTCCCAAGATCTCCATATGAATGAGCATCTCTGGGATGTCCTGGAACAACAAATCCAATCCTTTGAAGCCACACAGAACACATTCAGAGGTCTTGTGACACCACAAGACCTCTGAATGTGTCCTGTGTGGCTTCAAAGGATTGGATTTGTTGTTCCAGAACATCCCAGAGATGCTCATTCATATGCCTTGATGCTTCAGAGCTGTTTTAGCAGAAAGAGGAGGACCTAGAGTATATTAGCCAGGCAATTTTAATATTGTGGCTAATCACTGTTTATGTTGTTAATATGACACTTTTACCTTGAGTGACATATGTCTCTTCAATGCTCTGCTCTTTTTCTGTGTCTCTATATGAAACACTGCAGGAGGCAGCAATGTTATGAGTATATGCCATGGAATTATACCCTGTGTAGCGGAATGAACCTTGGACTGTTACCCTTATTCCTGCTATGGGCTGTCCGTATCTTGCCTCCCCTGTTATTTCCTATGTTTGGTGCTCCTAGTCCCTGGATCATCTTATTTCCCCTGTTCGTCTGGCCGTTCGGGAAAATAGCAGCCACCTCACCTATTAACAAACCGAACAAATTACCGAACGCCAGACCACCCATATGTGGAGTGTGCCGCTCGTTAACCACTTTAACCTTTGTTCACACCTTCACCAACCGCAATAACCTGAACAATCCAAGCACCTTTTTGGGCAGGCACCTTGTGTGCGGACGGTCTAAACTATACCCCGGTGGCGTTTCGGCTGTGTTCGTCGGATCTGAACGCTTTTCAGATATATTGGGCGCTCAGAAGCAGGCTATCCGGGGATATAGGATTTAAGGGGGGTATATTGTGGGGCACTTTAGGTTTTGCAGGGTTTATGATTGTACATGTCCTGGACCTGAGAGTTAATGTAATTATGTTGTGTATTTTGTCTCAGTCTGCTCTCAGGTCCAGTGGGAAATGCCCCTGGAATATGTATCAGGAAATCCCTTGCATGGGGATTTACATAAAAGAGCGTGTGTGGCTCAATTAAAATCAGTTATACCCCCAGAGCTGAGTGTAGTCCAGTTACTGGGGAGGTTGTGGTAGATTCCTGGAGTATTTTCCGGTGTTTGCCTGTTCCCTTGGAGTATTCTACTTGTTCCTGAGTGTATGTTGGAAAACCCAGTAGAGGAGAGTCCCTGCTAGGACTAGGGCTCCGCTACACCCTGGATTAAATAACCAAGCATTTGACTGCTCTCCGGCTACCTAATATGTTGTTAGCCCTGACCATGGTCTGTCTGATGACTAATAGTTGTTTCTACTGCTTAGGATAATTAACTTTTAACTAAAGTCATATTATATCTTCTAAACCTCAACTGATAGTTTCATTCTGAGAGTGCATATTTGGTTACACTAATAGACATCAGAACTCACACAGATTTTCTTCTGTGATAAGTATATACATTCGCTGGATGGATCTGTTCCTTTATAATTGTACATTTTATTTAATTTCACCCAAAACCTTATTTATTTTTATAAATGATGTGACTTCATGCCTGACAGGTGGGCTTTGATAAATTGTCAGCTGAAACTGACATTGCTTAACCAAAAGTGGAACTTCTACATTAGCAATTCTGGCAAGCGGGTGCCTCTGGGACTCATGGAAAAGACTGCATCACAGTCTACTGAAACAATAACCTTTATATATACATGTTATGGTTATGGTGCCTAGTTGGTAAATTCCACTGAGCATGACAGCTGATTCTTTCATCCAATCACGAACGCCCAATTATTGCCTTCTCTGCTCAATACTGTGGCCTAGCAGAGGAGGGAGAAGAGATCACCTAAGGTGATAAACAGGTAAAAAATCAATAAAAGTAAATCTTCATGTAGGGACTCCAGCTTAATGCAGCTTAGATATAGATAGATATTTAGTAAAATTGGTACCTTTTTATGTAGAAATGCATATATTTGACAAGTTGTTTTAAATATCTTGTAAATAAGGTTTTATAGAAATTTCTGATTACCTTTCAGTGTATATAACATGTCACCTTTGCATCCTAGAATCAAATTCTCAGGATCATCTAATAAAATGTGCCAGGAATTCCTTCTCCAAGTTGATGAGGAAGCTGAGTGTTGAGATGGGGTATAGCATAGTCGGCTGGGACAGATGTGGGACTCACACAGACTCTGCTTCTTTGATCCAAAGACTGGCCCGTGGACTCTGCAGACTTGACTCTCAAACAACAAATGCTGAACTGAACAGCACACGTTCCGTTATGGTATGTAGGCTAAAAAAAATTTAAATACATTTTAAGACTTAAAAAATTTATAAGATTTAAAAAAAGTTATAAAATATTATTATAAAAAATCCTCCATGGCATCTGCTGTACTTTATAAATAATATATTAGTTTTACATGCTTGTTTTGAAGTAGTGATTTTTGTGCAAGAAGAAGACTGTGATATCTCCTAACTGCAATTCTTGCATATTATAAGACATTGTTATATTGCATTGCCTATGCTTTGGATACAAGCTAGTGCTCTATTAAGGTTTGCTCTCTATTTTACATATTTTTGTTCTTGTAGCATCACACATGTAGTTGTGTTTTCTTGATTTTTATTCCAAATGACTAGTGATTTCATATTAAAATAAAAAAATGCTATGAATGTCTATTTTTACCAACTTGTAGGTAAACCTTGAATATGGTTATTATATGATTTATATTTTTGAGCAGATGACCAAAGCAAACTTTGATTTACATATTGGTACTTGGTCTAAATATTGTCCTTTTAAATAGAAAGGCTTGGCTGTTTTGAAGAAGAAATTATCAGAGTTTACAAAAAGGCTACATACTGGAGAGGTGGAGCGGCGATCGTTGCGTTTAGAGCTATCAGAGTTTAGGGAAAATCTTAATGCAGTTCGCAAAAATTCTGAAGCCTTGGAATGTCTTAAAGAACAAAACAGACAGTTAAGAAATGCTGTAAGTATATAGATTGCTTATAAAATATATATAGCATTCCTATGTGATTTTTCTGATTATAAATGTGTTGGTACATATGTAGAACTGCATTGAATGGCAAAAAGAATGAACTGAAACTGTCTAAAAGTACACCCATTTAAGCGGTCCTGTCTTAATCTTATTTGAAAAACTTATTTTCTGTGTAGATTGCTGTTCATGGCTACATAAAAAATAGAAATATATGTAAATATGTAGGAGTCGGACACACATACATACATACATACATACACAGGGCCGGTGCAAGGATTTTTGCCGCCCTAGGCAAAAATTTTTTTGCCTTCTCCCCCCCCTCCATATGTCCTGCCCACCATGTGACATCACAATATGTCACAATATGCTCTGCCATATGGGCCAACGCCAGTCTTCACAAAGTGTCTTTTATCTGAAAACACAGTGTGTTTACATTAAAAAGCCTACAGGCACAGGCTATAGACACCAGAGCCACTACATTATGCTGTAGTGCTTCTGGTGACTATAGTATCCATTAAATGTGAGGTAAATTAGAGATTAGTGCCACTAATAATATATTGGATTGCCTACTTAGCACCAGATGAGGACAAGAGGCTGAAGATGGGCTCTGTCTGGCTCCACAGGTCTGGTGTAGAAGAGGCTCTCTGGAGACCTTTTTTAACAGTGCTCACAACAATTAACGAACAGGAAGCAGCTCCATTTTTAGGGCCCCTTACACAACTCAAGGTCTGGGCCCCCAGGGCTTGACCGTGAGTATGCCTACAATGCCCACCCATAAATCCACCTACATGGCCAATCCGTGAGTTCTCTCACAGGAAGTGGAGTGTATGTGTGTAGGGAATGTTTTATGTGTTATTGTAGA